TCAAGATCCAAATTACCACATTAGCATGATGTTAAAAAGCCTGGGTGTACAACCACCTGGTCTTTGTGGTACCAATCGTTCTGATCAATAGTCTCAATTGTCTGCTATTGCCCCAACAGTGGGGTATTTTCTAAGCTGCTCAGCTGCCAGTGCCAACTTCAAACTATTCTATTAATCTTTCTGATTCAGGCTTGCCAATACCTAATACTGATTAGCTACCTACACCATAAATCTCACTGTAACGGAGTTGGAAATGACTAGGCCTAATACTATGGGCTGCATGAATAACAATACAGAAGTTTACATCCCTCTTAAATAAATACTGTAATATTATGTAACCAACCAGATTACAGTTTGTTAGCTAGCAAACTGTGGGATTTGTGAAAACATTAGTGTTGAGACTGAAGCATTTCTGAAACACTCCCAAATGAATTTTCACCAAGCTAAAAGTATGAAAGCTAATACAAGGATAAAAGGACCACACATCTTATTACTGCACTTTTGCTGTTGAACTAAAACTTCTATATAAAATGTAGAAATGGGTTAAAAGAACTAAAACTTAAAAATGCAATTTAAGTGCATATGTGCTTAATGAGGGTTAACCTGCTGTCTCAAAGAAGTGTGAAAATACTATTGAGGAACTTATCCAAGAAAAGTGTAGCCACAGACCAGGAGGCAATATTATCTGTTATTTCTTAGAGACAAGCAAGAGAGGTATCTGGGCTGTGTTACAGTGTTTTCACATATAATTCGTTTTAAAAGATTCAAATTGAGTTCTGTTAAACCAACTGCGAATGACCTCAGTTCTTTTTGTGTTCACAACGTAAGTGAAATATAAAGAGGACTCAGTTTTCTTTCTGGTCCTTTGGGATCTCAGAGCACTTTTTGTTGGCTCTCGCATCTTATTGCTTTAATAAGTCGCAGATTACGGATAGACTTTATCCTGAGTAGAACCTTATAAATGATCCTTGGTCTGTTTTTACCTGCTGAAGTGCTGAAGACTGTGGCTGTGAGTACGGTGAGCCTCGAGGTCTTCACCATGAAGCAAAGCTAAAGCGGACTGGGGCCGTTTTGTTTTCACAATGTACAAATCAATCGAACCACAAAACTATCACAAACGAACCGAACAGAGACCACTTCGAGAGATGGTCCCAGTTCGGTTCGTTTTTGGGTCTGTTTAGGGGGGTCTGAGTTCGTTTGGCATGTTAACACATACAAAAGAAACCATGACTCAGCGGTCTGAGTCCAAGTGTGAAAACGCTCTTATTTTCCAGGGTTCTGTAGGTACAGTCATAAACCCTACAACCTGCAAAGGGTTTTGAAAATGTAGTTACTCTCTTTTTATCAGTTATCAAATGTGCTAATACCAATAAATCATTCAAAGAAAAACAATTTTAGAAATCAGTTGCTATCAAGGACTGGGTCACAATTGTCCTAAGAACCAGTGAGATCAGTGACATCCACAGCTTTTGCCCTGAGAGGAAGCAAGAAGAACACAGAGAACTATAGGCCTATATAACTTTGCAGCAAATTGGAGCATTGCCCAGTAGGTTAACATCTGATTTAACTGTGTTCCACTTTGTGACTGTGCACCTACATGGCTGTTGCTGATGTTCAACCACTTCTCTGTCTCAGTGGAAGAAAAATGCTGTCATTCTGACAGCTTCCCTCAGTTACTCTGGTCTTACAATTCTACTATACACCATACTACACCATACGGTGTGTGAAATACCCCGTGGAGTCCCATGTTGGCTGGCTTCTTCATAACTGGTAGGCTGCTAACTCTCTAGACAATAGCTTTATTATTCCGTTGTATTGTTGTTGCTGATTATGACTGCAGCCCAAGAGTCAGATGAGTGATGCTGATAAGACAGTGCTAAAAGATAGAGGAGAACAGAGTTAAATGTTGGTGTGAGCTGGTCTGTAATTTCTGATCTGACAGTGAGTCTCACTCTGGCCCCTGTCTGTAAAGAGAGTACAGAAGCCACCAAGCTTATGAATACATGAAGAAGGACTGATATGTGATTATGCTCAGTGTTTCTTGCCGGTATTTCTAGCTGTGTTACCAGAGTTTATATTCATCAAATGATGTCAAGAAAAGGAAACTGTGAAGAAGCACATGAGGACAATAGAAGAGAAACAGTATAATGTCAGTTTATTTAGTGAGGACGAAATGAATAAATTTATTTTATGACCTTTCCATAAACCTGGTATTTGTGGTTGCTCCTCCAGTCAAAATGGCCAGCCAGCATTAAGTACTACCACAGAGATTTGGAGTTAAGAAGCTCAGTCAAGGAAACAGTAGTGTCTGTGGTATAATGAAATATAATTTATTTATATTAACTGTGTTAAATACATGGCAGAACAATACAGAATTAACTGTGCCAGTAGCAAAATGAGTTTAAGAAAATAGGTTTAACAAAAAAAGTTTAAAATTTCTATTTCTGCCTGTAGTCTTACTGAATTCAAAGACTAAAATTTGTTTGAGTACCGTTAGATATTAGTGCTGCGTAGTGCTACCAAGCTAGAAAATAAATAAATGAATAAATAAATAAATAAATCTTTATGCAGATTTTAATGACACACAATATCACATAGGTTAGAAAATATGGTTTATCAATTTTAAACATGTTTGACAAAGACAACACCAAAGATAAGTTATCAGTAGGAAATGGCAGAATGTCTATAATACAATATAATAAATATTGTTGAAAATCTTACATAAAAAATGTTACATTAATTCATTTATTTACACAAGATCTGTATCTGTTAAGTAGATGTCTTTAAACATCCTTCTCATTCAAAATGCTCTTCTCAGTCCGTTTCACCACATTGTTGGAGGTGCCAAACAGTCTGTCCCAGTGACTGAAGAAAGGTGCAAAGTTGCTGCTGGGCTTCTGGTGGTGAAGGTCATGAGCTAGTGCTCCTCCAAGCAGTCCAAATGGCACCAGGCGGCTTGGGGTCCAGGGCAGGTCGTAGCCAATGTGGTCTTCAACAGACAACCAGATGCTGAAAATGGTGAGAGTCCACGTTGTCAGAGGATGGCACTGAAGAAGGAGAGGGTCCAGGTTGCTCCAGAAGCCCACGGTCATCAGCTCCATAGCACTGAGGTGTTCAGTGGACCAGGAGAAGGGTGAGATGTAGTCATGGTGGCCGTTCTTGTGGTGAGCCATGTGCCAGAAGAAGTACTGAGTGTCAAAGATGAGCAAGGCACCAAGCCCCCCGGAGAAAAGCTCCCACACTGTCGGAGCAATAGCAGGCAGCTGAGGAGCTGGCATCACCGCACTGTTGATCAGGACGATTGGAACCACGTAGACCAGGTGGTTGTACACCGCCATGCCCAGGCTCCTCATCATCATGCTGACGGTAGGCTGCCTCTCCTTCTGGATCTTGTAGCTGTAGAAGGCAGGAGCCTGCTCTCCCAGGAGGTCCAGAATGGCAAAGGGACAGCTGAAGATGAAGTAGCTGGAGAAGGCAAGCATGACTGGGAAGAAAGGTGAGGAGACCAGGGAGTAATGGTGGAACACCAGGTAGTCCCACAGTGGCTGGAGAAGCCGGTCTGAAGCCCTGGAAGTTGGGAGCTGCAAGGCAACTTCACTGACGTTCCACATCTTGTTCTTTGTTTCTTCAGGGAGCTGTGGTGACAACATGCTGAGGTGGAAGCTCTCAGCCTTATTTATACTTGTGAGCCAGACACGCTGACCTGCTGTAAAGTCGTGGTGCAGAATTTTTTTCCTCATAGTTTTTTTTCTTTTCAGGATTTTTTTTCTTTTTGAAAGGTTGGTTCAGTGTAAGTCCATGTTGTGCCAGATTTTCCTCATTGCCCAACCTTGAGCCAGAGACAAAGGAGATCCCCTCTTAAATAACCTAATTTCCTCAATAAGTCTGAATCTCTTTTGAACATGTGAATTGAAATAAAATCTTTTGGACTGCTTTCTAACACGGATTAGCTTAAATCCTGGTCAGTGTAGGACTTTCAGGGGAAAATAACCTAAAAAACCTGTGTCCAGAAAACTGATTTCTGATTTCAGGTCCAGTCTAATTTGCCACAACTTGTTTTGATGGAGACATGTGCAATTTACCAAAATTTTGATTTTAACATCAATAAAAATGTTTTTTTTTTCTTGCTTTTTATTTTATTGTTCGGTTATTGTTGTTTTATGCATTAGGTTAGAAACAGGTACAAATACATACCTTTCCTCTGGGAGAGTTTTTTTTTCCTGACAATGAATTTGTGATTTTTTGACCAATAATTAATTGTGATTATTTTGAATAAATTAAGTTCAAGGCTTTTTTTCACCAAGAAGACTAGCACATCTATTTTTTGGACTTGAGGCTTAGTAGTATGTATGCCGGACTGCCAGTTCATGAGTGTTATTAGGGTAAAGTTCCCTATTTCAAAATTGTTAAGACAACTATGAATGATGTAGGATATAGTGAAAATCGCAGCTCTTGCAATTTGAAAATTATACTTTCTCAAGTTGTGATTTTGATATTTTTACAATTAAAAACTTTTACATTTAAATATCTTATGCTATTCTATATTCATGCTTCAGTCTCTTTCTTGTTCTCTGTGGAAGAAGCCATGACTACACATTAAATCTTAAAGCGTAAACAAAACCTCAAACTGCTCTTCCAAATGAGAAAAGAGTTTGATTGATCACTGCTGACATAAACCAGTGGCAAAGAATACAGACAGTGAGAATAAGTACAGGAGGATAAAGAACAATGACAAGCAAGATATATGTTGTCTGATAAGTTTTTCAAAAATATTACACTTGAATTGTGGTTTAATTGCGTCTGTATAAACTTTTGTCAAAATAAAATTTCATGAACTGAACCTGGTGTCTGTCAATGGTGTCGCTCCATGCTGACCCTGGCAAGGTCAGCATGGAGCATTATTTCTATGATTTGGAGTTAAGAACCGTTCAGTCTAGAATGCAGAAGCTTTAAGCCAAGATTTCTGAAGGTTTGGCTAGATAGTCTTACATGGATTAGAAATGACCGTCAGTCAGACTGAGTCTGCCCAAAGTGTGACTACAAACACAAATCCCAGACAAAAAGTTCAAAACTTTAATGCAAGGGGAAAGTGTGAAAATCTCCTGTCGAAGTCTTGAGGCTGGGCAGCAAAGATATTCCTGCACAACATGGATTACACTGAACAAAACTTTCAGGAAAAAAGGAAAAACAAAATTGAAAAAAAAAAAAAACTGCTGTATCAGGGCTTTGCAGAGTGTCAGCATGTCTGGCTCACAAGTATAAATAAGTGTGGGAGCTTTTCTCCGGGGGGCTTGGTGCCTTGCTCATCTTTGACACTCAGTACTTCTTCTGGCACATGGCTCACCACAAGAACGGCCACCTGTACAAGTGGGTCCATGCCATCCACCATGACTACATCTCACCCTTCTCCTGGTCCACTGAACACCTCAGTGCTGTGGAGCTGATGACCGTGGGCTTCTGGAGCAACCTGGACCCTCTCCTTCTTCAGTGCCATCCTCTGACAACGTGGACTCTCACCATTTTCAGCATCTGGTTGTCTGTTGAAGACCACATCGGCTACGACCTGCCCTGGGCCCCAAGCCGCCTGGTGCCATTTGAACTACTTGGAGGAGCACTAGCTCATGACCTTCACCACCAGAAGCCCAGCAGCAACTTTGCACCTTTCTTCAGTCACTGGGACAGACTGTTTGGCACCTGCAACAATGTGATGAAACGGACTGAGAAGATCATTTTGAATGAAAAAGATGCTTAAATATATCTACTTACCAGATACAGATCTTGCATAAATAAGTTAATGTGCCAACAATGTTTCAGACGTTATCCTATTTTATTATATTTATTTTAGTATATATTTATTTTGCCATGCTCCACTGTAAATGGGTAATTGTTGTTCTTTGTATTTAACATATTTAACATCAATAAATGATGTTTTATACAGGTATATGTGGACGTTCGAGTCATTAGACATTGCGCATAGCATTTCGACTGAAATCGGGTGTCAAGGCAGGATACAGAGTGGCTTTATTAGGGTAATCTAACAGTCACTGCAGCAGGCAGGATTCAAACACATGTGGGCAGGTACAATACAGGCAAATACATACTCACCAACTACAACCCTATTTCCAAAAATGTTGGGACACTGTGCAAAATGTAAATAAAAACAAAATACAGAGATATGCAAATCATTTAAACCCTATATTACATTGACAACAGTACACAGACAACATATCAAATGTTGAAACTAAGAAATTTTATTGTTTTTTGAAAAATATATACCTATTTCCAAAAACGTTGGGACAAGGCAACAAAAGGCTGGTAAAGTTGTGTAATGCTAAAAAAAACAGGAAGGCAACAGGTCAGTAACGTGATTAAGCACAAAAACAGCATCCCAGAGAGGCTGAGTCTTTCAGAAGTAAAGATGAGGAGGGGTTCACCACTCTGTGAAAGACTGCATGATCAAATAGTGCAACAATTCAAGAATAACATTTCTCAACACAAAACAGCAAAGAACTTGGGGATTTCATCATCTACAGTACATAAGGTCATTAAAAGATTCAGAGAATCTGGAGAAATCTCTGTATGTAAGGGACAAGGCCAAAAAAAGTATTTGCTGATAATGATCTTTGGGCCCTCAGGTGACACTGCATTAAAAACAGACATGATTCTGAAAACCACTGTCTGTGAACATAGTTCATCATCCACAAATGCTAATTAAAACTCTTCTAATTAAAAGTCACAATCCAGAAACACTGCCACCTTCTCTAGGCCCAAGCTCATTTAAAATGGACTGAGGCAAAGTGTCCTCTGGTCCGACAAATCAAAATTTGAAATTGTTTTTGGAAATCATGGACACTGTGTCCTCTAGGCTAAAGACCACTCAGCTTGTTATCAGTGCACAGTTCAAAAGCCAGTATTCATGATGGCATGGAGGGGCATTAGTGCACATTGCATGGGTGATGTGCACATCTATGAAGGCACCACTAATGCTGAACAATAGATACATGTTTTGGCAACATATGCTGCCATCCAGACGACATCTTTTTCAGAGAAGGCCTTGATTATTGCAGCAAGACAATGACAAACCACATTCTGCATGTATTACAGCAGCAGAGCCCTATATTAAAAGAGTCCAGGCGCTAAACTGGCGTACCTGCAGTCCAGACCTGTCACCCACTGAGAACATTTTGTGTATAATGAAAAGATTCCAACTTTTTTGGATCGTGTTGTTGGCATCAAATTCAAAATGGGCATTTATTTTTCAAAAAACAATTTCTCAGTTTCGACATTTGATATGTTGTCTTTGTAATATTTCCCTTTAAAAATATGGTTTACTTGATTTGCATGTCATTGCATCCTATTTTTATTTACATTCTGCACAGCGTCCCAACTTTTGACTTAACTGACTTAAACTTCAGACTAAATCCATTTTAGTCACCTGCAAAACAATTATGTAGTGACTGTTTTGATAGTGACAATTTTAGCTAATTTTGAACATAACCAAAAATGTTAGCCAGTAGAATGACAAGCAAGCTTTGAACAGTTCAAACAGTACAAACATAAAACCATATTTTTCACAAAAAAGTTCACCTAATTACAGAAAATGTGTTTAAGTAGTGACTATTCTTACACACTGATTTGTGAGACACATTTACTTCAAAACAATCAGATCTAACTGCTCATCATGTGGCCAGTAGTGACATGGAAACATGGGACAGCAGTTTTTTGAAGGTTTTTTTTTTTAATTTAAAAATTAAACCCATGGCAATCTAAATCAAGATCCTTTAAAAACATTCTAAAAAAGGATTATTTTTACAAGTTGAAATTTAGTGTATAAATGATGATTTTGTATATTGTCGCTGTCCAAAGAAAAACAAGTATCTCCAAAAAATAGTAACTTTACAGGAGAGGGCAAAAATATTCTTTACTTTCAGTGTAGGTTAATGGAGAGAGATTGTATTCTAAGCAATTTTGGAGCATTTCTATTGGTCCAGTCATAATGAAATTTTTACACAATGTAAAAGACAACCAATGAGCTCAAATGATGCAGAAAAGTAAAAATAGCCAAAAAATGGAGATACACGTTTTTCATTGGACAGCTATGGTCTAAATCCACTGACCAACCACTTCATTAAGTACACCTCCTTGTATCTACACTCATTGTCTATTTTATCAGCTCCACTTACCATATAGGTGCACTTTGTAGTTCTCCAATTACAGACTGTAGTCCATCTGTATCTCTGCATACTTTGTTAGCCCCCTTTAGCCTATTCTTCAGTTGACTTTTTTCATCACAGTTTCCCTGAATTTCCACCCTAACTGATGTGTACTGTTCTCTCTATTTGCCTCTTTTTATTAGGCAATGCTCCTGCTCCGAAAGCAGAGCTCCATTGTGAGGCCTGTGGTACAGCAGATTTCGGTGATACCACCACCTAGAAACGAAGCCATATCATTCTGCACAATTACAGAACCAAAAGGAACCTTGAACAGAGAATGTTTAACCCCTTAAAATCCCAGCATCATTACATACTAAAGGTTTTTATCCAGTAACTACAGAGACTTTAGTACAAACCGGTTGAGCTATTCTTAGGTTAAAGACCTGCTGGTTGGCCGTGGCCATTCTAGTGGTTAAACCTATTAAACTATTTGAAATGACTCATAATGTACTTTTAATGGTTTAAATTATATTAAGATATTGAGCAACATGTGCTCTGTGGCAGTTATGGTATTATATATCTTGTCTCATCTGTGATCAAGCAGGTGCAGAAAAGACACAATAGCTGCGTCCCATTTCAGGGGCTGCATCCTTCGGAGGCTGCATTTGAAGGCTGATTGTGTCACAGCGGCGCAAACAGTCGGTCCCATTTCGAAGGCTTCTTCATATGCGGCCGAGAAATGTGTCCTTTTCCACGGTAACGAAGGATTCAACGGGTGGATCCTTCGCCAGTCAGTATATCCCGAGGTTCATTGCGTGCCAGCGGAGATTCTAGAACATGGCAGCGTCTGCAGAGGAGCGATCGGCAGCTGAGGAGGACACTCTGAAGTATAAGTATTGGGTTTAAACTGAGGCGAATAGCTAACGATACAAATGTAAAAAAGACAATGTAGTCTGAAGTAAAACTTTTGCTAACATTTCGTTTTGTTTTAGGGAGCAAGGAGCAGACAGAGAGGCCTCTCCAGCTCTAATAAATAAATGAATGAATGAATGAAAGAATGAATAAATAAATAAAGTTTCTGGCTCCATCTTTAAAGAACTTTAAAATAACTTGACAATAGTGGCGTTTTGTGACGCACCGGTAAGGATAGGAACAGCGGTGCTGTGATGCAAACAGAAAATCCGCCAAAGAAGTAGATTGTCCCATTTCAGTTCACCCTTCGCAGGTCTACACAGCCTTCGAGGGACACACCTTTGTAGACCGCGCCCTTCGAAGGATGCAGCCCCTGAACTGGGACACAGCTATTGTCATGGTAATATAAGGAAAAGAATGCATGTTATGAAGACTTCATATAAAGTAGCACTGTCATACACATGAGCAGAAATGCACAGGCAACTCTTGCAATGCTAGTTTTTGAATCAGTTTGCCACAGAGGGCATACTCATCTTCCTTGCTGCCTCAAATCTGGCCATCTTCTCTGTCACTTAAGTCAAGCTCTGAAACAGAAGATTGTAGGTTCAAATCTCAGAACTTATTAGGCACTTCTGGGTAAGATACTTTACTTTCTGGCAGCCCATGCATCACTGCTCCAGAGCTCTGCTGGCAATGTAGTTAGGCAACAAAATGACCAATTTGCCTTAACAGATCAATTAAATATCCTAAATGGATGAATAAAATATAAATTATTTCTCTTAAGGAAAAACATATTCAGGCTTATTACAAAAATGTGTATTTCTGCTACAAGATTAAAAATGAAAAGCTTGAGGCAGACGAGAGTGAGTGAGTTTATTTGGATGTTTCCGGACATTGTAATGATCATCTGTAGTGGGGGTTAGCAAACACACCATATTAACTAGAAACTGTTATTAGTTTTTGGAAAACTAGACAGGTTAAAGCAGTGGTTACCAAATCTGATCCTGGAGATTTACCTTCCTGCAGAGTCCAGTTCCAACCACAATATGCCATACCTGCACTAGCTAATGAACTTTTTCCAAAGTCCTTAACTTGCTGGTGAAGTGTTAGATCAATATTAGGTACACTGTAAAAAAAAATGCAGCTTTAACATGAAATTTTGAGTTTACTGATATCAGTAGAATAATTTATGATTTACATTTGTTTACTTATTATTTGAAGTTCAGTGAATTCAACATTTCTAGTTAACCTGCTTAAAAGCTGTACTTTTTTTTTACAGTGTAAAGGGAGGCAGCATGTTAGATGCAGGTTGGAACTAAACTCTATAGGAAACTAGGAACCAGGGAATAAGGAACTAACAGCAGCAGATATATTAGTCCATGCCAAGGGCTTTTAAACAGGACTAAAGGACAGGTGGCACAGGTGAGCACATTTATGACGTTTAGGCATTAGGGCAGAGATATAAGACTACAAACAAGGCTAACGCAGGCAGAGAGGAAGGACCTGGGAGTGCAGCCAAAACATCCTAAGTCAGAAACCCAGGACCAGGATTGTGTGGCAGAGCCCCACCATCAAAGCGTGGCTCCCAGTGGCCTGGGAGGACCCAGAATACTGGACAGGGCAACTGGAGGCGAGTGAGTCAGTGACAGGGCCCAAACCCACAACTGCAACAGAGCCTGGAACCAAA